TTTGTAAACAGATCTTGCTGCTGTTAAAATGATCTGATAGGAGATTTTCTGATAGCTACTGCACCAGTGCCATCACTCCACACACACACATTAGGCACAGTGAGTAGGGGAGCGGGAGCACCACCAAAAAAATCACGCTTGTGAATCCTCGCAGAGCTATCCATCCAAAGTGTGTGGAGAGAGACAAGAAGCCGGTGCCAGCGCAAACAGAATCCCCAAAATCTCTCTCTCTTTCTCTGTCTCTCTCTCTAGTCTTCCCTGCAGACTCTAGACTCACATTCCAATTCTTATTTAAAGTTCCTTGACCGAGTAAATTAAATTGTGCAATTATTTAGTACTTATGTGCATTATTACCAAAGTAATGTGCACATTATTACTTACAAGGGTATAGACTTGTTCTGTGTTTACAATGTTCAGCTCAGTGTTCAGTCTGCAGTCATAATAATGGTGGTGGTATTTTACATTTTTAATTAATTAATGTTTTTAATCATTTATTATTTTAACTTTCATGTTTGGTGTATTTATTTTGGAAATTAAACAATTAAACAATTGATAAATTCTGAATTATGGGGTGGGGTAGTGGGGCACCGCAAAGTATTTGTGCACCTAAATGACCACCAGTGCCCTTGTACTGCACATTGTTCATATGTAAAGTGGGCTCTGGCCTATTGTCATTATTAGGTAACTCATTATGCACGGTCCAAGAGCTGCTACAGGAAGAGCGCAAATATTGAATAAGTAAAATGAAATAATCCTCTCTCCAAATGCAAATGTACACTATGCATAAGACTGCATTTCCATGGCAAAGTTACAACGTACACGATATTGTACTGATTAAGAAACTTTGGTCGTTAGTGGTCATGAGGAGCTAGCTAACAGTGTGTGCTAATGATAGGACTCAAAGTACACAGTCAGCAGGAAAGTTTGAAGGAGCTCAATTAGATTCACCACAACTTTTCCAGTGAGCGGTGCAGTCAGGAATCAGCACAAGACCAAAGAAAGTACTGCGTTAAAGTAATACTGGACAGGCTAAAGTATTATTCTCTTATAAACTTAATAAACTAGTGATGAGTTCAGGAGTTCAGCTTTAGAAATCTCACTGTGTGCGAGAAATATAACAGACCAAGGATTAACAAGCTCCAAGCACCAAAATGTATTTAGGTACATAGAGTAGATAAAGATAAATACATATCCTACCACTAAAAGTTTCAACACACTTTTTCATTACACTGTAGATTCTGACAAAAGACATCAAAACTATGACTTTTTTTCATAAATAAATACCCTTTACTTTGATCACTGCTTTGCACGTTTGGCATTTCTTGACCCTGACATGGCACAGCTGTGAAATAAAAAGCAGAAAATGTAGAACGTAGTAAAACAACAATGCACAAAGAACATGAACCTTTAAGGAAAATATGTCATGTGCCAGGTTTAAATGTGCATTAGGTAACTTTTTGGTTGGGGGGTCCATGCTTTTTTTCTATGGATATGTCACTGCTCTGCCTGAAATGTTCCACAGTATGACATTAAAGGGTTCTATCTTACATTTATTCAATTACTTAATTAAATAAGTCAATAATTTAGTCAAGGTGGTTTTACTGCTCAAAAATACCTAGAAAAACAGGCATTCTGACTGTGAGCAAGGTTTACCTTTTCCACAGATCTGACCTGTAACTTGGTCGAGTTTGGTCTCCATGAAGATAGAAAGGTTTAATACCATACTATTAAACATTCCAGACAAAGCAATAACATTTCCATGGATAAAAGTATTTAACGGACCCTCCATCACAAAAGTTACACCTTTAAACAAAAGATCATTTTTCACAAACTGCAACAAAATGCCTTAATGCAGGAGGGTCAGCTAAAATATGAATTACATTATTATATATTATTATATTATACAATGCCAAATTGCAATCAATGAAGAAAACTACTGAAAAACATTTACTTTCCTTATTATTTCCTTATTTCCTATCATAGAGTAAAGTGTAGGTTGCACTAGATTTGTTTTAGCAGTTTCCTTAAGGCCCAAATACTGGGATGAAAAAGATTGTCATCTAATTTGATAGTCTACTCTTCATTACATTAGACATATAAAATGTCCTCTTTATAAATGTAGGTCAAATGAACATGCATCAATAAAAGTAGGTCTCCATCCAGACAGATCAGCTGAGAGTCCGTCTCTTCTACCGGGAAAATCAATTGTAAATACTACTTAGTCGATTCTCATATCAGCTAAGGTTTTATCTTACACTTAACTTGATCTTCAGCTTGTACAGCCAGTGGAGGTCACAACTAGGTCTGTCATGGTAACAAATTTATGACAAAGTATGACATATTACTGTACTGTATTATATAAATTGTAAACAATAATATTGACACTAATTTGTTCCTCTAACACAGTAACCCTGAAGCAGGATTATCCCCCAAAAAATACTGTATATTTTACATTTGCTGCAATAAATAAATGGCTGACATGAAACAATGCTCTAGTTTGTATATATAAATGCGTCATGGAAGTTAATCGTCCAACATTTTTTAGCTCAAATACCATCATAGTATAGAAAAATAACAACATTTTCCCACTAGTACAATGAATGAAGTACACATGATTAATACTGGCCCTCAAAACATTATTGTTCCAACTATTATTTGTTAGGGGATGAGTCAATATAGCAATTATACATACATACAGGCCTAGTCATAACAGTTACAACCAATACAATATTTGTCCCAAGTTTCTGACCCAAGTTCAGATAAAGATTGAATCTCATAATTCACACTATAAAATATATTTCTGTCCCAACTAGAAAACTGTAGGAGAAAACCAAATTATCAAATAACAAACTGGCTGTAAAACTATGACCAATCTTGTGTAGAGCAGGCTTCCTTTGTTGACTAAAGCACAGTGCATGACAAACTATAACACAATATACTGAGCCACAGGCAGCACCATTACCACTTGAGAAGAAATACCTGTATTATGGTGACAAAGCAGTTTAATACCTCCTAATGACGTAACACTGGTAACACAAAAACACCATTTTAAAAGCTGACCGATTAAAACTGAGATCCTGTTTAAACAGTATTATTCATGGTTCACATAATCTTAGAGTTGGTTGAGTCCTGGTTGAGTTTTGATTTAGTTCTAGTGCTTTTTAGATTATGTCCTGGTTTAGAATTATTTTAGACCCGGATTAATCATTTTAGTTTTGGTTTAGTCCATTTCTCTCTGAATTTGTTGGTTCAGCTCCGGTTTACTTTTCTTAAATTATTCAGTTAGTTCAGTCCTGGTGTAGTCCTGATTCAGTTTTGGTTTAGCCCTAGTTTAGTCCCGGTTTAGTCCTGGTTCAGCAGAGATTCAACCATGGTTCAGTCCTCATCCAGTTTTGATTTATTTATTCCTGGTTTAGCCCTGGTTTAGCCCTGGTTTAGCCCTGGTTTAGCCCTGATTCAGCCCTGATTCAGCCCTGATTCAGTGCTAGTCCAGTCCTGGTCCTGTCATGGTCTAGTCCAGGTGTAATCCACTCCATTCACAGATGAGGTCTGTGTGTGGAAACAGTCTGTGACTCAGAGCAGACACTAAACCCACAGAGAAAATATCAACAGAGCGACGTGGCACAGACCAGCTGACTGCTCCCGGATCCAACTCTTCAAGGTTAAGATTCTGTCTAGACTACATATGCACAGTGCATAGGCTATAACTTGCTATAACTTGCTATAATTATAATATAGTATTTCTTCCTGACAATTTCAACAACAAAACCACAGAATGCATAAGAAAAACATACATTGTGGATAATACTGCCCAAACTATATTTTTAGTTATTATCTCCATGCAGCTAAAGTAAATAAAGTATAGACTACACAAGACTGTCTAGTATTCTGGGCAGGATAGAGTAGGGATGGGTGGAGCTTTTTAGTGATATTATTAGATCGTAATTGTGCGGTTCTCTGTTTATTGCTGCTCCATAATAAAACACAGACACAGACAAACACTGAAAGGTGGAATTAAACAATCAGTGATGTATGAACTCTCAGAATATGCAGATGACTTAACAACAAAATCGTGATATAAACGTTTTGCCATACATAGCCCTTAATGTCAGATACAGTATAAGGACAGTAACAGGACAGGAAAAGCGTAGGGATGTTATGATAATCAACAACTGATATCCTTTTGACTGTTCTGTAATCAGGCACCCAAGTCTTACAAGTGCAGACAAGTGCAGACAAGTGCAGACAGTGCTCTATAGCTTCCTCATGGGATCTTAATATAAAAGGTGCGAAACCATGAACTGTACAAAGCAAGGGAAGAAAAAATAAAAAGGAACAAACTGCATCTAACAATTACAACTGAAAATAGCCTACTCAATGACCTGTCCTGATGAATACAAGGTTACATTCCCCACATGGGACACTGCCATACTGAGTGTATTTTGCAGCATTTTGTAGCTGGTGTTAAAATAAGAATGAAGTTAGAAGAGGAAGGGCATCTGACATAAAAACCTTGACAGATTAAATATGTCAATTACAAGATTACTTAAAAACTAGATGCAGAGATAAGATATTGATTCAGCTTTAAAATTGGGGTAATTTTGACATGATATGAGGCTGTGTTTGGGCAGTAAGCAAATAGTAAAGCAACTTTCACTTTGATTGATATACCAATTTAGTCTATTTAGGAAATATTAACTTTAATGTATTTAATTTAGCCAAAATTATTTCAGATGTCTCACGTAAGTTATGTTTACCACATACCAACTTTAATTGAGTGCAAGTATCAGATTAAACCTTGTGTGCAAAACATTTTGACCTAAATACCTGTACTTATCAGACAAGATCAATTTTAATGCATGTCTTATGTCAGCTGCATGACCCCTGACCTGATCAAAAGCGTTATCAGGAATATCTCTCTACTGTTACGCTACAATCGGTTATATAATGGGCCAAATCAATATGCACGCTTTAAAATGGCAGGCGTATGAGTAAATTACCTGTTTGGGGTCGTCGTAAAAGATCGCGATGGTGCTCAGCTTGGGTCCGATGCTGCAGGACTCGGTGTAGGCTGCTCCACAGTCCTTGTACGGTCCCTCCTTGAATTTGTATGCAATGGTGACATTTTTAATCGGTGGAGGTCCAGTCTTTATTACCACGTCGGACAAAAGCCCCGAGTACAACACAAAAGCCGCTATCGTCACTGTTATGCACACGACAAGGACAAGAATCAGGATTAACAGAATGAAATCCGACATTGTACCTAGAAATAACACCCCAACCGGACAGAAATAAAGACTTTATAGGTCACGACAACGCAAAGATTGTACAAATTGAATATGCTAAGTGTAATCCAAAGCAGTAAAAGACTGTCTCGACGCAAAAAGGGACTGTCCAGTTAGCAACGAACCGTTTGTTTACGGTATTTTCCCAAACAGTGGATCACGCTTCCTGGATGTACCATTGTGCTCACAGCAGAGGGGGGAATTTTTAAAAATTTCTTTAGGTCGTAAAGTTTTCTTCATTGTAAACCTAAATATGAAAACGTTAATATATTATACAGAATAAGCATCATATCGTCCCACTGTATTCATTATTATAAACATAATGTTATTTTGTAATAAAAGTTGAATGAGAAACACACCCCCCACGTACGAAACGGTTCAGTCCATAACCCATGCTGTCAAAAATGTAAATGTGTTCCTTTTTTTTGGTATTACTCAGCTTTATTCCTTTCTTTTAAAAGTGAGGCCTACATTTTAAGTTTTTTTTTGGCGAAAAGTTTATTTTTGATGTTTTAAGTTTTCTTTGGGATTTGTTTCCCACAGTTGACTTAAAGAAACATAAAAATACATTTAAAAGCGAAAAGAAGATGCTATACTTACAGTAGTATTAATAAACAAGAAAGTGCAACATTTTTAACATTCACAGATAATTTTTAAATCGCAAGAAAAATTTAATTATTGCATTTCTTTGTATATTGTGGACTTGTGTATTGCGTGTCATGTGGTAACATGAAGGACCACTATTTGTTGTTTAAGAAACTTTTAAATGAAACTTTAAATCTTGGAAGCGCATTTCTTTCAGTCCGAGTCATCATCCACCATGTTTGTCCTCTCAGAATCACTCTCCTGAACCTGAAATAAAAAAAATTAAAAAAATGAATATGACCACATAAACTGATGACAGTGACAATTTGAGACTAGTCTTTACCGGAATACTTGTCAAGATTAAGTTATGTTTTATAATACAGAACTAGACAGTCTTTTTAGTTGTTAGTTAATCGTACTCCAAGTCCATTTAAACCAGCTGCCCAAGTTTACAGTTAAAAGACACTAATCATTAGCCACTGACTTTTATCTTATCTGTACACTGCTCTCCACATTTCCAACAGACTCTTTAACAAACATGTACTTTCTAGTCTACCAAGAAAAGACCGCACCAGCAGCTATGTGGAGAACTGCAAGTGTAAGCATGAGCAGAATCCAATCTTTTTTTTTCTTTTTTTTTAAAAGTAATTAGGACCATTATCTTAATTTAATCCTATGAATGTCTTATTTTAAGATTTAAGTACAGAAACACAGGTTGTTACCAATTTTGACACACACCTGGTTTGAGCAACTATATTGTACCTCGTTATCCTGATCTTGATTTTCAAGGGGCTGTTGTTCGTCTTCCTCATCATCGCTATCTTGAGACTTCTGGGAAAGAATCTCCTCTCCCTGTAATAAATACAACATAGGCCTGTCACCATAAGATGAAGAAAATAGACAATAAATGAAAATACTGAAATTACTTTAGCCCACTGACAGGATAACCCTAAGGCAGGATTTCCTACAAAAACTATTCTATATGTTCAGTATTGTTAATAAACAGGAGCTGCAATTAAGAAATGGATGGTATTTATTTAACCCTCTGCTCAAATCTTATCAATCATAATACAGAGAAATGACAATGAAGAAGCTGATAAGCCGATATAGTCATGACAGGCTTAATACAACATATAAAAAAACGATTAATACTATACATCTACACATCATATGTTTAAAATTCATAGCCAAGTGAGCATATTGTTGTTTGTTTGTTTTTTTTAGAAACATAATTTGGGGATGTACAATGTATCTTATTACTCAGGCATACTATTAAAAGAAGCTCTTCATATTTTGATGTTCACATTTCTCAGAGCATGAGTGGAGTGTTTTGCTTATTTTTTGTACACTTTAGGCTGGTGGCTCTCAAACTTTTCACCTCAAGTACCACCAAAGAAAAGACTTGGCTTGGCTTTCCTAATTCCACTATCTGTATTAGAACTATTCCAAATCTGATCTATGGCTAATTCAGTTCTAACAGTGAGCTACGTAATTGCCAATGTAGTTCAAATAAACTGTCCAAAGGAGGACGAAAAGTGGACAAAATGAAAACTAAATTAAGAGCCACCCAAGAACTACCTGGAGCTCGCTTACCACCAGTTATATATGTACCACAATTTGGGAAGCACTGCTTTGGGCTACATTACATCACTAATTTCTCAACCAACCAGATAGCACTATTATAACACACCAACACAGTCAATCTATGTCAACACATTTAGGGAAATATTTGACACACCTTCAGGCATCATCTACCCATTTCTTTACCTTGAGGTTCCTGTTCTTGAGGTTGCCCATCCAGAAGGCCTCCTGACAATTATTGATTGTGAGCATGGCCTTCACTCTGTAAACAAACAGTTCCAAGCTCTTCTTCAACGCCGGTACGTGATTGGTCAGACTCATGTCCTGGTGAAGCTATGGAGAAAGAAATAAAAACATTTATATGAGGCCTGCTGTCTACTGTCCAGGTTATGCCATTCCCAAATCTCTAGAAGCATCTCCAGTCACATGCTATGCTAACCCAAACACAATGATTGGAATTTTATCTATTTTACATACTTATTCTTTGGTATTTAATACTACTCAAGTAGACACCACAGTCTATTTTTGAACATTAATGCATGGCTTGGTTGTATTTTTTATAGTGAATTGTATTTTCATGATACTAAACCTGTGAAGCACAATCATGGCTGTTTTTAAATGTGCTATATAAATAAATGTGATTGATTGATAGCTACTGAATCATTCAATTGGTTTATTTGAGCTTCACTTTCACATTAATTGTATAAAGTGTTGAGATACTAGATATGGAAACAATAAACATATATAGACAACTGTACCTTGGAGTGTCCACACATGTGATGGAGCTGTCTGGTGCTGAGCTGAAAAGTCTTCAATAAGCTCTGGACATCCTCCTAAAATAGAAAATAAATTATAAAAACAATAATTAAACCCTTTTCTTAATGTTACAGAGTTTGAGAATTTAAATATTTGCAAAATCTGACAAATGCGAGACTAAACCAGGACTAAACTAGGACTGAAGAAAGACAACCAGTACTGAAAAGAACATATCTATACCTTATGCTTCTTAAAACTGCAGTCTAGAAGTGGCATGCATAACTTCAAGAATGACTCCAGGAAAAGACGCCCATACTGAAATGAAATAAAACAACTTACAAAAATGCAAATAATGCACCAGCCTTGTGAAAACCCTAAGTGATCATCTTACCTTTAGGCACACGTTAAGTACTGGCCTTGAATCAAAAACCTGTAACATTTTTGTTAATGTTGTGAAAAAAACAAGTCGGTGTTTGTCATATTTACAACTTTTCATAAACAAACCTTTACTAAATTGACGAGGACATGAAAGTCTCGAACAGCCAAATTCCACGTCAACAGCTTCTCACTTTGAATCTGAAATAATAATCATAAAATAAAAAATATATATACATATCAAGAGCTTGTGACCAAATATCTGTCCTAAGTTAGCATTCATGACTTTCTGCTTCCTATATGCAATATTTTGAGGACTTTTTTGAGGATATATTTTGTTTTACATTGTTGATCACTATGGCTTGCGGTCTTAATTTTCCATCATTTTAAAACAGTCTAAGTAAAAACTGAACGGAGGTATCTCAAGTGGCTAACCTCAACATTGTCCCCCATTTTTGCAGCTGGAATCCTCCGAACTGATTTTTCCAAAATAGCCATTAACGCTTTGTAATACACAAGAAAGGTTTGTCTAAAGGGAAACAAAATCAAATTAGGGTAAAATATTGAAAATCCTATAATAAATTGTTATCTATAAATACTGAAAGTAAATGTAAAAATACCTGTGTAGCGTAGGCCAAGAGGCAGAGCTTTCATCTTTCGCTGCGTTTATGAGTTCAGAAATTCCCTCTCCAGCGATTTCCTCCACTGCCTTCAGGACGTCATCTACATACTCCAAGTATAAACTGTAATAAATATATTCACACCATTTAAAACAGAATATCCAAAATACAACAGAGATGACAGGACTGACTGAGATGAAATACCTGAGAAGAGTGTGGAGGGTTTCATTGAATTTGGTCCCTTTTTCTCTCTCTCCCGTTGCTGTGACCCACTCCTGGTTTAGGAATTGGCGAGCAAGAGAGGCTGAAAAATATTCAAACACATTCAAATGTAGTAAGATAGAGATATAGTGATATTACTTTTATTAACAATATTGCAATAGTTGTTTTGAAGATGTACACAAATTAGACTCAAGGCACAAATTTAATAGTAAAAAGGGCAAAATGTAACTTTTTGAGTGGAGAGTGCCAGTCTCTTTGTCTCCATACAGATGTTATTAGAATGTTCCACAGCATGGCATAAATAAACAAAATAATCTTGAGCCTTGTATAAAACGTATCTCCATTGAGAATCCTTGACATAAATGATTAGTAACTTGTAAACCTTTCTGTTTCCTGTAGGTGGCAGCGTGCCCTCCTTTCTCAGACACTGTCGACAGGAGCTGCATCAGACACAGCGCTGTGCTCAGACTCGGCATCGTGTTCCTGAAGTTCTGCAAATACTCAAAACTGCATCTAAACCAGGACAAAAGATATATAGCTCATAATACTAACAATACACTTATACATTTAACCGATCAATAATCCTTTATAACTTACTTCACCAGTTGCTCCAGGCTCAGCTCAGTCTCTTCTTCTTTCAGTCGTCCAGCAAAAACTTCCAGTGCTTTCTTCAGTGAGTTCCTCTGACCAGGCTGACTAAATCCAGACCTGGGACACACATTCGTATCAATCATCAATGCAGTATTGACACAAACATGCATGTAGTGTTGTTTTGTTGTCTTTTTATTTAACAAGAGCATACTTTTTTCTCAATATATTTTTTTTAAACTATAACACTTTCAGATCATTATTTTGTGATTTATTTTTAATTAATACATATTGTGCTTGTGTCTGCTATATAGTTATAATCTTACATCTGTGGATCCTTATGTTATAATTTGGAATGCTGACTTCCGTGTTAGAAAACTGCGGTGGCTAAAGCTGATGATGTCGCCATAAACAGCATCACAACAAAGTGCCGTGAAGTTGACGGCACCTCCGATGGACAGCTGCACATTGTGCTAGCAAGTCGCACATTTTTTTAATTTGTACATGATCGTGCCAAATCCTATGCGTATCATCGATTAAGAAAATAAAATTGGAGAATGAAGTACAGAGCAGCGCACAGAGATAGGGGGTAGATCAAATTATTCCCAAAAGACATATCACCATGGAATAACATTTTTAGGTCATATTGATGTCAGTAAAAGGGTATATTGAAATACATTCTGTTCTGCTATCATTTGCGTAACTACAGTAGAGGGAACAGTATTGCCTTTACCAGTTTAAAATGGTGTTGAGGATTTGCAGAAGGAGCTGGTAGGACTGAGACATGAGGTGATACTCCTGTGAGTCTGTGGCAGGTCCATCCACAACTCCATTGTTCTCAGAGAGCAGAGTCTAAAACAGAAACATGCATTTTATACACACACAAGGAAAAAAACACTACATGTTATAGGTATAGGCCAATCCAAGTAATTCACATGAAATTATTCTGTTATTTTGTCAGTTCATATTTAAAATTTTTTGTCAATTCTCCTGGACTTGTTTTAAATATGAACTCTGAACAGAATTAAAACAGTGAAAGCCTAACCTTAATCAGAATGTTTGTCAGAAAAAACATAATTTGATATTTTTCCCCAAATCGTTCAGCACTACTGGTATCACCTATCATTGCAACATACATATCAATATTCTATTTTTAAAAGTGTATACCTGGAAGTAGTTATGGCAGTTCTCCAGATGTGAGCAGAGCGCAGGCAGCAGCTGCACACAACACGATGCAATGTCTTTGGGGCTCTTTTGTTGGAGATGAGAAAATCCTACACTTTTGTCAACCTTACCCTACAAAAGAAATTCATTCATATATGTAATGACATAACAGTCTGTTGAAGTGCAGGTAAATAAATATAAAGTATTATTAAACACCTTGAGAAAAGGAGCTCTCTTTGCCGGTGAAGCGTGAAGGCTGAACTCCACTTTCTGAAGCATGTCCTCCAATAAAAACACCAACTCAGAAGGACCCAGTAACACCTCCTCCCTTACCTTTAAATCAGTGAGTACAAGTGATTACATTATGAAGTTCTTACAACAGATTACTACTAAGGCCAGCTGGTAGTGATCCTAAATATTAAAATGTTTAACACAAGTTTTAGTGTAAAACTAGAATTTACAGGTTTTATTTTATCTCAAGTCTTGTTAATTATAAGATACAATACATTAATTTGATAAACCAATCTATTGTTCAACTTTTAAGGTGTTACTGTGACTGTACTGTGTGATTATATTCGGGGGGGGGCTATTTAAGTCTGTTTTATAAATGGTTAACGGTATAATATTAATTTGTAAAATCCTTGAATAGGTCTGAAATACTACAACACCTCTTACCATTTCACAGCCATTCAAATGTTAGATTTTTTATTTTTTCAGCACATTTCTCATAAATATAATTTATAATATAATTCCAAAAATATTTTTAAACAAATTAATGAAAAAAATATGAATAATTTAAATATTTGAAGTGTATGTTACCTCTGTATTCATTCTGGAGTTGAGGTGAGAGCAGGAGATGAGGCCACACTGTAACACACTGAGCACCTCAAAGTCCAGCTCTCTAAAGAAGGCCCTGTATGCACCCAGACCTGCACCAGGCTTCACCTCCTTCTCCTTTTGCTTCTCCACAGGCTCCTTAAAAAAGGTCAAATAAAAAAAGTCAAAAATGTCTGAAGAGAAAGTAAACGGCCTCATATTAGATTTAATACCTAATTCCATAATGATGACAAATGTATTTAATAGTTCTGTGTGTTTACACTGTGCATTTTGTACATTACTGAAAGCATTCTAAAAGTATGCAGGAAAGGTAATTTTGTCTTTTTTTGTTTTAATACTGATTCTTGTTTAAATAGTGCATCTTTTGTGTCTTTGAGTTTTGGTGCATCTTATTATTTATTTTTTATTAAAAGTATACATTTATTGACATGCCAAATCTGATGGTGTTCTGTGTATATCCCACCAGGAGGAAGCCACAGGGAAAAGCGAGAACACACTGGAGGGACTAAATCTCTCTGCTGGTCTGGGAACGCCTCAGGATCCCCCTGAGGGAGCTGAAGGAAGTGTACATGAAAAGGGTCTGGGAATCTCATAGGATATCTGTGTCTTGTGTGTTAGAATATAAATACATCTATTGATGCATTGCAGCTGATGTCACCAGCATTCCCTGGAGAACTGCTCTGTTCAAGGTTCTATTAGACTTTAATCAGAGCTTTATTTTAACGAGGTAACTTACAACTACAACAGGGGAGATGATTTGTAGTGTTAAACAAGTCTCTCTCAAATATAATAACAATAACAACAACACATAAACAAATAATAATTATCCAACAGTTTTTCAATTAGACTATTAGTCACACCTAAGCAGGATCATGAACACTCATATTGATAACAGCTTCCTGGAAATATGTTGTTTAAATTAATTTTGTATATTTTTAAGTTTTCAGACTTAAAACCATTTTGACAGTGTGCTAATGTGTGTATTGCATCTCCTTGGTAACTGCTGAACATGTCAAAGTATCAGTGGGTTATCCATTTCTTGTGTACTAGAATATAAATACACCTATAGAAGAGTTATATAAAAAATAAAAATATGCTGCTGACCTGTTGAGACTCTTCTGCATTGTTTGACTCATCATGTTGAGAGCTGCTTTGAGACGGGGTCTTTCCAGGAGCCTTCCTTTTCTTTCCTGCACTTTCTGTAAACAATACAAATAAAGATTAACATCAGAATAAAAATATAATGTTTTTGCCATTACAGCCAAAATGACCAAAACCAGGAATATTCTTATATAATAAAACAAATAAAAATTAACAATATAAAATGGATGAATTGAAATGATTCAAAATATAAATAGGCAAGAAACATATTTATGATCAGATTGAGACTTAAACAGCTTAAACACAAGGGGATTAAAATAGAAAAGGTATTAAATAAAAATGATAAATGATGTTTGCAATAATATAAATGTATTCGGATTACCCTTCTTTCCTTTATTTACAGTAGCCACAGAATTAGGAACAACTCCTTCAATAATTTCTCCATCAAAGTTGGCAACAGGCGGAATATAACCAGGAGTAACTGCAAAACAAAACAAAACAAATATTACCATTTAAGAACAATTACTTAAAAAGGTCATTTGAATTTTAGACATAGTTACTAACATTATCTTGCCCGCTCACCTGACAAAGCCTTTTCCAGCTGTGTATGAAGATATGTGATGTTCTGTAGTCGAGTCATAACTTTCATTTTCATCTCTGCATCATTTTGTTTACAAAAGGCATTCACCACCTTCACAAAGACAAGCCAGATATGATATTAAATCTATATGCTTATAAGCCTGTATTATTGTATGAGAATCTACAGTTACCTCTCTGAACCAGTTGATGGTATGAAAGAGCAGCGTGCACAAAAACTCCTTCTCTGATTTGGATAAAGTTTCTGCTTTGTCGATTACATTCAAGTCCGTCACAATGAGAGGGCAACCTTCAAATATAGGGAGGGGGATCATTTGAGTTCAGAATCTTTTTAGACACTTGATGAATAAGCAATCAAATCAAACAATGAATGATTTTTAATGGCACAAAATGTCAAAGTCAATGTCTTCTATGTTGTTTTTCTTGATTGTTTCAGACATTTAAATACAGTTATAATCTCTCACCTAGAAGAGCATCAATCTCCTCCAGGTCTCCTTTGTGTGTTTTCTCCTCACACAATCTCAGCAAACGGAAAAATGGAGAGAGACACAGCACAGACACTTTCCTGTGAGATAAAAAATAATAATAATAATAATACATTCAGATATTATCATCATATATTTGACCTTTGAACTGTAATTATCCAGCTGTTGAATTGTGTCTACAAACTTTTCATTCTCCTTTTGTGTTTCTCCCTTGTGCGGTGTCTCTTTGGCCAGCAGGGGGAGTAAGTTGATGGCGATCTGCTCTTGACTGTCATCCTCATCCAAGTTATACATGGAACAAGCAGGGAGTGGAAAGGAACTAAAGAGAAAATACAGTTTATGTCAATTAAGAAAAATACATATTTAGTACTGTAACCATTTTAACAACTTACCCTGATATATTAGGGCTTAAGTCCACCACAAAGTCGTCTTGGAAGTCATTTAGCACACTCTTTCCAATCATTTCCTATAACAAAGTCAACAATAGTATACAAATTAACATGTTAGCCGGCATCAGATTTTGCCTCCCCAAGACCTAAAAACAAGCTGAAATAAGAAGGGAACTTTGAGCTTGCTGTATTATCATAAACCTTTAAAAGTAATTACATTAAAATTTCAATCACTCCTCTTTCAGTTAGGTAGACTACTCCAAAATTTGTATTACATAAAATTGGAGAATATTCATGCATTACAGCTTTTGTTTATTTATGACATTTTGAGGACTTTTGAGTTTTCAAAAGATAACACTGTGTTTAGAATTGTTAATTTCTATGACAACAATGCTAGATTGTTATCATTCTGAAAACCATGGATAGCTTGCTTGTGGAACCATAAGCTTGTTAGAAACCTGTGAGAAACAATGCATTATCACATAGGACTGGGTATAGATTTTGATTTTTAGGGGAGCACACACCTGCACATGAGGGTCCAGGTTGGCGGTGACGATGAGATTTGCCAGTTCGTCATAATACAGGGCAGCAGCTTCAGGAGAACTTTCACTACTGGACTGCAGCAGCTCCAATAAGGCTGTGAGCTGCAATATCCAAAATTCACAAGTGTTAACAACATTACAGCTACAGACTCAATAACAGAAGGTCTCTTGCAGTCAGAGCAGTGTTTTGATTAGTATCAGTATCATAATTATCAGAATAGGTGAATATACACAAGGTGTGAGACACAAATCACACAACAAAAACAGATCTTAGACTCATACAATTTTTAACATAGATATTAAGATTTTTTAAACTTTTTAAATTGGTTTAATATTAGTTAAGTTATATTTTTGTTGAATATTTGTATGTGTATTTTATTACTGTCATCATGTTTTTGGTCTATAAAAGTTGGGGACTGGGCAATACTAACAAGGAATCTCCAATTTTTATGAAACATGTTTGGCTCACCTGTCTTTTAGTGTCTTGTGGTAAAGAACCATTCTGGGTCTCCTTGCATTTTGACCTGAGCCAAATCAAAATACAGGTTAAAAATATTGGCATAGCATAGAAAAGTGAAAATTATAGTAGCAATATAATGTATATATATATGGCATTGGGCAATATGCCGCATTCACCACCTGGAGCGTAAGTTACCTGTAGGCCCCCATGCTACCGATGATCATCACAGCACCAATGATGCCGATCCTCTTGTATTTGGGCACAGTGCTGGAGAGCTGCTTACGGATCACTATGTGCATGTCGTCCTATGGGAGAGACACAATCAATCAAAATACACATACATGTATTTTAATTGAACAACATAATATATATAGGCTAGGGTTCTAATAGGTTTACTTGGATGTGAGAGCCTTGTTGTTGTTCTCCAAATGCCAGAGTACTGAGGAGGTAGAAGAGTTTACGGATTTGCTGCGGGCTCAGATTGTCCATGTAATCCAGAATACCCTGTAACACCAAGTATAACAGATTATAATTCAAGCTTTGATTAATTTAAGATTTCAGCAATTAACTCTGGATATCATATACAGTAGTCTTGTCTGTTGTTTATGAGGGGAAAAAAACTCTAAGTTCATATTTTTACCTTGACAAAAACGGCATAGAGGGCCATGTCTTTGGGGTTTTCAGTGGCCAGTCCACAGAGCAGCTCCAGAGCCATGTCCACCTCTCCCCCCACTCCACTGCACACATGGGTCACCAGGGCACCCACTACCTCCTGAAACATACAATATATCCCAACAATAAGTACAGGACACAAATATAAGCACATGCAAAAACACAAAGCTAAAGTTTCAATACAAAATGAAAGGCTCCACACTTAATACTAGAATGATGGTAAAAAACAGACAACTTTTCAGCACAAATCAATAGTTGCCATTTGCCATATCAAAAACAATTACAGTTAAAATGACATTTTGTCATATTTATGTGAGGCCATTTTCAGTATCGATACTATTTGTTCAAATGAGCGCCTAGTATCTGGGTTTAGATTTTTTGACAACCCTAACATGCACAAAGCTCACCTGTTGGCAGTAGGAGTCAAAGGCAGTGAAGGAGTGTCTGTACATGTGTCCCCCAAAGGGCACCACACTGGGGTCATGAAAGCGCAGAAGACCCTGAGCCAGAGCCAATATAGACGGGAAATACACTCGCATCACCTGTAAAAGAGGTATGGTTTCTTTTGAAACTGTTTCTTTACAGTTGGTTCTAAGACATTTCACACAAAGTACCGCCTAAATATTTTGCCTTCCAAGTATCACCATATCGAAACCAGAACTATTCTAGGCATTACACAGAAATAATATATATAATAAAATAGTACTCCATCATTGCTACAAAAGCACTAATGAAAGACTAACCCAGCAACAGAGGACAGAAATGTTTACATAATAGTCTCTAAAGTAAGTTCACACTTGCACACACAACATTAAATTGGGAGTAAACTGGAACTAATCAAGTGATTGTTTAATTTTTAACATCATCATCAAAAACTAATTTCATATTCATATTATTTAATGGTATTGGTCCATAACAAAACTCCCTGACCTGAGCGTAGTCCTTGAACGTCTTCTGCAGCAGAGTTTCCTGGAAAAGTCCACTCTTTACTTTGTTCTTCATCACTCGCTCGGCTCCTTTGCGACTCTGATTTGAGTTTGTGGTGTGAAGGATAAACAGGACCAATAGATCAACTACCTGAAAAAATATGTATTAAAAATGTACATGTCAATCTCTGTAAACATTTAAGTACAATGGCAAAAGAAAGTAGAAAGGATTACAGTTATAAACTTTTAAGGTAGGTATAGGTGCCAAGTAGTAACTGAATACAATGCAATAGCCTAAACTATAATAAATCAAGAAAAGAAAATACTCAAATCACATTGTCCTTGTCAGTATAACATTTTTGTGACTTTTAAGTGTTGGTAAGAGTAAGAGTAGCCAATTTACACTTTATCAGGTAAAAAAAGTAAAAAATAATGCGTTGTAAGAATGTATAAGTTTAAGAGTTTTATGTTTATGTTATTTACGTAAATGTAATTCATAATAACCCACATCTGACACACATTATTAAAGGGCTAGAGTAGACTTTACCTTATGGTCCTCGGGCTCATCTACTGTCTCAATCGCCTGTTAAAATAAATTATTATTGTTGTTATATTTTAAAAGTGAAGACGTTCAAATATCAAATACGAAAAGACAGCACACACCTTAAGCCAAGCCTCTGATATAGTTTTTTGAAATCGCACAGCTGTCTTTATGCCATCCAAAATTAATGTTATGCTGTCCTGATTTCCTGCTACTTTACTGTTGGGCCTAGTCAAAATGAAAAAAATGTATTAACAAATAAAAATATAGATTCAAATTTAATAAAATGCTGAAAACAACAAAATAATAGGGACAATTTCACAACATACGCCTGTGTTGCTTTATTCTTTAATCTGTTTTGAGATTCTTGTAGGACTGATGGCAGAACGCACTGCTCCAACTCTAGTTTCTTTCTCAGACTTGACACCACCTGGTACAAACAAAGGCATTAACATATTTTATATATTTTATAAAAGGAAAATATTTGTGTTCTTGTTAACTCAAACCTCCAGAGCATCTGACGCTGAAATAGAGTGAAGGATAAACTTGACGACCACAGGGAGGTCCTCCAGTTGAACAGCTGCCAGAGTTGCCATTACAGCTGTGCGCACCTGAAAAATATGTCTTATTTCATCTATTTCATTTGACACTGTATTAACAAACATAATTTCCTCAATGTACACATATTTGTAACCAAAATAATAAAAGCAATTTACCTATTCTGTCCAATTAGCAATTTACTAAAAAGTATTTTATAAGACTTAGGTTCAAGTAATGAGATTTATTGTCATTTATGTTGAGAGACCATGAACTGTGAATTCACTAGGTGTTATGTTCATCCTTTTAGCGATATTGCCTTCTTTTCACTGAATAACATTTTACTAAAGCAAAATATTCTCTTATACTCCATATACTGTTTCCAATAAAACAATGTCAATTTAGGTGCCAGTGGCAAAAAACTGTCGTTGTGTCCTTAGGCAAGACACTTCACCCACAGTACAGTTGCCTAGTACGAAAGTGGTGTGAGTGATGGTGGTGGTCGGAGGGGCCGATGGCGCAGATTGGCAGCCTCGCTTCCGTCAGTCTGTCCCAGGGCAGCTGTGGCTACAGTAATAGCTTACCACCACTGAGTGTGGAGTGACTGAATAATGAATTGTAAAGCGCTTTGGCTATCTTGAAAGGCTCTATATAAATGCAATCAATCAATCAATTTTTATTTTTTTTTACCAATTATCTCAACAATCTAAAGGAATTTATTAAAACTGGAATTTAAATTATATCAGAAGAACATTCTATAAATCATGATCATATTTGACAGCTATTCTTTCAGTTAGGGACCAGTGATTTTTGTCATTGAGAAAAAGTGTATTTTTCAAGTTCTTCCAAGATTTAAAAAAAAAAAAAGTGTGTCTCAATACCTCTGTTAGTATGGTGGAGCTGAGGTTGAGGCTGGAGAGAGCGTCCAGGATGGGAACAGTCAGTTGGGTGTTCTCCTGGAGCAGAGAGCTGTGGAGAAATGTGTCAGTGGAAAACAGGAAACATCCAGCACTAATAATGTCTAATGCAGATAAATGGAGCTTTTTACTTGAGCTCGCGGGCAATGTCGTTGTGCTGTGAATCTTCCAGGATCTCGGGTAAACTGGTGATAATGTCCCTCTGAACCTCCACCGGGGCAACAGATACCAGCTCCATCAGTTTAGAAGACAACTCCTACAAAAATAAAACACTAAATAAAACGAGCAATACACAGGAGGATGTCAAGCATTGACAAGCTTCACCCATTTATCGTTATAATGATAAATGGGATGAATGATGATGAATCGAATTGTGCACCACTTTATTTTGACTTAACTTGATTTGGGTCTTGGGCAAGTGTTTGTAGGAGGGTGTCGGATTTTACTTTACGATACTAATAGGCCTTTCACCAGCTTGAGGTGCTCAGTTGTAATAATTTTTGATAAATATTATGACTGTTATTACATTTTAAAAACATTCTTGTTGGTAAGTAAAGTAAGTAAGCAAAACTAGTAAAAATGGTTGTTAGTAAAAAATGTTACATAAATAGGACCTATGGCGACTAAATATGGTATAATGGAGAGGACATTATACCATATTATGTAATAGTTGTAACTTTTGTGAGATGCCAAATTGAAATTTATTTCTACCAGTCATTCAGTCCTAATCTACAATCAAAGTTTGGTTAGAGGGTTGAATCAACATGTAGTACATGAAAACCCACACTTAAACACTCACCTTGCTGTCCATAACTCTGTCAAGCCATTTGAGCTGGTTAATTATCATGCGAGGAATGCTTAGACCTCCATCACTTGTTCTGAGGCAAAAATAAAAATACATTTAAATAACTTTTAGATAACAATATTTTTTAACTGTTATAAATTAATTAAGAATACATACCCTTCTAACATATATTCGGGAACCTTTTCTAGCAGTGTGTTGATTATCAGTGTCTACAACAGAAATAAGAGGAAGATGGGAAATGTATGTACTGTCAAGGTGTATGACTTAATGTAAAGTAAGCATGTGTTGTTACCTGCAGGATCTCAACCCCCAAAAGCATTCGTAGTAAACTTTCCTGAAATGAGCTGGAATAACTAGAACAAAATGAATGCAGTTTAGACAGTATTTAACAAATGATAGGTAATGTTGATGACCAATATATTTTAAATTTTCTTATTAACTGGAGTTTAAATAATTGGTCATACTGGTGTTCATAATTAATTTGTCAATTAATTGACATTATTGGCTTACTTAATCAACAAAATTATCTAAATAGTTACACGCTAATCCAATAAATCAATTTTTTTTTTTTGTGTGCACACAAATCAGATGCCACAGAAGTAGAAGAAAAAATAAAAAAATAATATAATTAACAGTAATACAATGTGACCATCTTTTTTCCCCCAGCCCCCCCGCCCTTCACCTACACCCCCCCACACACACACTCCCACCACTACCACCCCACCCCACTGTCTCCAGAGAAAAGAAAAATAAATAATACATAAATAATATAAAGGAAAGAAAAAAAGGGGAAAAAAAAGGAGGAAGAACACACAAACATACATACATACATACATACATACATATATATACACCAATAAATCAATTCAAAGAGGTTGCTTAGTTGAGAACAGGCAGTGCATTATACTGTTTACCTGGAGTCATCCATCTTTGTCTGAGGGACACAGGGAAGAAGGAGGATCTTAAACCGCTCAGCATCTTCTATATGAGTCTCTAGTCCTGTGATAAACTCCTTTACAATCTGGGAAATAAAATTATGTATTTGTTAGTGTGCTTGATTTAATTTTATATGCCCAAAACAGGCCACAAAATTAAGTAATGCAGTTAGTGATACAACTATTAACTGTAAAATCCATATTATTGTGTAGGATAATAGGGAACAATCTAGGAAAGGTCTAAGGGAGGGCTGAAAAACTGCACTTTATATGGCTAAATAAAATGTGTTTTGTTAAGGACAAACTAATTTCTTCTGATTTAAGGTTTATATAAATTACACCAGTCTTTAAACAAAGCTTCTGCAAAGTGTATATGAACTCACATCGGGGTACTTGGGGCTCTTTTGAAGCTGTTTTTGGATCCTTTTTTGAAAAATGACCTGGTCAACAGCTGAAAGACAACTTGCAGTTAAGTCAAAAGATTAATGAAATATAGAATGCATATTATTGAAATATAAAATAATGATTACCAATCTCATTGGATTCACCACCATAATTTAGTGTGACACCTGCTTCTCGAAGAAACAGAGCAAATACACTTTGATTGGTCTCCTCAGGTGGGTTAGTGCTGCTGCGACTCTTCTTTGCTTCTATAAAACAAAATACAACCATTTTGTGATATTTGCTTTGTAATACATCATACTATCTGTTATCATTGTATCTTTGTTTAAAGCTTTTAGAAGTCTTTGATCTATATGTAGGGTGACAAAATTTTTCAAATTCAAAACTGGGACACAGTCAGGTTGGGATGGTTGGTATACATAAAATTGTTAAAAGAGCATGTAACCTTGTGCATTCTCGTGTCAGTCATAATCTGAGGGACTTCTGTCGCTGCATTTTTTTTGCTTTATGGTTATTCACAAATTTGTTTTTTTGTATTTTGGCTAAACAAGTGAGTTTATGCTCCTCTTTACTGTAGATGGGGATTAGTCAAATATTGTGACAGTCCTGTTTTAGTCCTGGCTTAGACCTGATATAGTCCTGGTTTAAATCAAAAATAGGGACACTTTAGGCATTTCTTGTATAAAACTAGGACAAGTGACTGGTTTTGTATAAATCTGCTGGGGCAGGGGACACAGGGTTCAAAACTGGGACTGTCCCGGTTAAATAGGGACGTCTGGTCATCTTATCTATATGTGATTTCAGCTGTATTACAGTCTTTCTTAACTTACTGGTAGGAGCTGAAATGCTCGTCTCTTTCTTATCCACTGCTGATCGTCGTTTCTTCATCTATAAAAGACAAATGCCACCAACAAAAAACTGTAACTAACTAAAATGTAATGCCACATACATAACACAGATAGACACGCATCTTACTACAGCTACATCAGCAACATCGGTCATTTTACACATATAAGAAGAAAAACATATTCTAACGTACATCATATTATATTTTGACCATGTCCTTCGCTGTCAAACTGTTTAAAAGTTATAAATGTAAGACCTACTGTTCATAGACGCCCGTGTTTTGGTTACAAAATAAATTTCCGCGCCAAAGTGTAAACGTCATCAGCAGGAGACAGCCAAAGATATTTATTGATACATCTATATTAAAGACCGTTCTTGTTATAATGCTCGTACAAAAAGACATAAAACCAACATGATCTGATATCGCTTCTAATTTAGATTTTTTTTGTAATGATAAGTTAGTTACGACTTACTATTTAACTCCCATTTTTCGGCAAAATAGTAAAGTTTTATGGACTTTTAGTTCGCTCCTCCCATTCGCGTCATGCATCATCTTGACGTGTTTTTGGTCTTCGGTGTGATCTTGGCTCTTTACCTTCACAGTGTCAGGTTCTGTGGTGTTTTATCTCTGGAGAGGCTCGCACCTTCTTGCTTTTGGGAGAATAAAGTTTCTACAAAATGGCATCTGAATTTTACAACTTTTCTGCTAAGCTCCTATCGGGGGAGACGTTGAATTTTTCGTCGCTTCAAGGCAAAGTTGTCTTGATTGAAAATGTGGCGTCCCTCTGAGGTACGACCACCAGGGATTACACCCAGATGAACGAGCTCCATGAGCGCTACGCCGCCAAGGGGCTCGTTATCCTGGGCGCTCCCTGCAACCAGTTCGGCCATCAGGTGAGCACACTCCGGATACATGTGTATACTTTTATTTTTGTTTCGATTTTACTTCACTTTCATTTAATGACTAGAGCACAATGTATTCAAACTGGGGAACCATACCTGTTTTTGGACAACATCACTCAAAGTACATTTACACATACATTATTTGGTGCATTTAGAAATAAAAGTTAATGAACTGGTGTATAGTGTAAAATTTAAACATACTAATTCAACTAACAATGCTCTGGAAAGGTACATTTGGCCTAGCTGAATGTATATCTTATTTAGTACATGCCAGTCTTGCTACATAATAATTTACCTTTTGTTTTAATACATTTTCACAATTAGGTTTTGAGAGAACACAATTATTCAGGCACAGACTGTATGTTCTTAAAATGGTAATTAGTGAGATTTCATAATCCCTACCATTCATCCTCATATAAGATCATAAAAGTCTGTAGTAGTTGACAATTGTATTGGGGAGTGGCTAACTGAATACTTTGTTCGGTGTAATATTTCACTGTATATGTTGAAACTTTCTTTGAGGAAGTAGGAAGTGAGTTGTTTAGAAATGGGAGTGGGTTTTCACATAAGAGTTTGCACAACTCTGATAAAAAGGTGTCTCTTTTATCTTGTACAAACAGAACTGTATTATAGGTTTATAAGCCTAATCAAAGTGATCCAGGTCCACACAAGGTCTAAACCAGGAATAATGCATATTTATCCAGTTCCATGAATGCCAGTTCTTGGATGTCCTTGATACCTTGCTGATACCGTGGTGTCCTGGATCACTGAGAATCTAAACTATTTAAATATAAGGTGCATTTTGGGATCAGATGTTCTCAAGTATGGCATCAAACACCTGTCTTGCATTAATTGAGTCACTGATATTTTTTATTGCTTAAAAAAAAATACCCTGAAAATGTGCATTCTTAATTTGCTGTATTCTCTCCATAGAGCTGTAATTTGGCCTGGTGATGCCTCCTGCTTGTCTCTATGGAGATGGATCAGTTAATTCCCATAATGGAACAATGACAAAGCAAAAGAGACAAGCATGTGGCGCACCTTCCACGATAAGTTAGTTGGTGCCCCTTTCAGATTCTTAACCTAAGACTAAGGCACTTTTAACCTGTAAAAAGACAATAAGACTCTTAAGATCCTAAGATATTTGAGATTTGTTTAAATAATATGATGAACACTATTAAGATTTACACAGCCATTTACTTTTGTAGGAGAACTGCAAAAATTAAGACAATTATGCGATCAAGTGTCTTTCAGTGACTAAAAAGGAACCACACGAATCTAATGCATTACTTTTTGTTTTGTAGGAGAACTGCAAAAATGAAGAAATCCTGTTGTCCTTGAAATACGTCCGTCCTGGGAATGGTTTCGAGCCGAAGTTCCGGCTTTTGGAGAAGTTAGAAGTGAACGGCAAAGATGCGCACCCTTTGTTCGTTTATCTGAAAGAGAAACTACCTACGCCCAGTGACGAACCCTCCTCCCTCATGAATGACCCCAAAAGCATCATCTGGAGCCCTGTGTGCAGGAATGACATCGCCTGGAACTTCGAGAAATTCCTGATCGCTCCAGATGGGATCCCCTTTAAACGCTACAGTCGCAGATTCCTGACAAGTGATATTGAGGGGGATATTAAGAAGCTGCTAAGCCAGGCACGCTAGGCAAGGCTAGGCTAAGCTAAAATACATGGAAACCGTCCAAAGCATCTGTGCTCTCAGTGTGGTTAATGGGTTTGTGTCCTGTGCTTTTACTCAATGAAGCTGTCCTCTGAAGCCACTTGTGAGGAGGGCATCTGATCAAATGTAAAATGCAGGAGTTGGCAGATGTATTGGCTGCATAGAAAGCACAGGAATCATGTAGACGATGATCAATAAAGTTTTTAACACAAATTCAAAATGGTGTCTTTTTTGGGGGGTGGCTGCGGTTAAGTTTAGTGTTTCCTAATTTCCATTTTTCTTTTTAGTGGCAATAGCTATTCACTGGATTTTGTTTATATAAGGACATTACATGTTTATGGCATCTATTAAATCATAAAGTATTACTTTTAGCTGTATAGATCATTCATTTTTTACTGTAGTAGTATCAAGAGTTTACATAATACTGCATTGTACTAGAAGTCAAAAAGTAGCCTCCAAGTAGCAGTTCTAAGGCAAATTTACTTTTTTAATCACTAGACAAGGCAATGTATGATCAACATTTTGATAAGTGAAAATAATCATTCTAATTTCAGGGGATTTATTTCCAATTATTTTAACAGTGGTGGAATCTAAATTTGTGGGATTATTAAGAATAAAATGAGATAAGTAAGACAAAAAGCATGGCAAAACAAATTATCTGCCAAATATATCTTAAATGAAAAGATTTTCACATTCTAAATTAATGCAATCTTGTGGTAGCATAGTGGTTTGTAAATCTGTGAACATTTAAAGGTCAGGTCACAGACGGTAGATTTCACAAGGTTTCTTCAAGTCATGGTGATTTGCTAATACCAGTTTGTATAGTCACTATGAAATGCAGGATTTTTGCAAATTGCGTAATCTGAAGATGGCTGGTCATACTTAAAATATTCATTGTAAAGTTTTTTGCATAGGTTTGAATACAAGGAAGTACTGGTACATTTGAATGAACAAAATGGAAAAATTTAAAATATGAGATGAAATTAAAAAGTTTGACACAACACTGAAAAAAATAATATGTTTTTGAAATTAGTGCCTCCACTGTTATCTATAATACATAGCAGATCAAACATAGCCTATTCTTTAATGGTTTAATAAAATAATAAATAAATACTTAATACATTTTGTTTCAAAAGTCTTATTCTTGGTCTGATATAGCTCAAGATCATTCTAAAGCTTTTCAGGAAAGGTTAATTCCAGTCCTATGAACATGACTTTTTTAGTAATGATGCCTGCTCAAATGAGTATCTAGTTTCGATACTACTTTTAGTATTGATTTGTATCTGATTTTTGACACACTGTCTCTGATACACTGTAGGGTTGTCAAAAATATGAACTGTGATCAAGGAGGCTCTAAAAAAAATAGCTGTGATATGAATACATTTAATAGGAACATTTAAAAGAAGTAACATTTTAAAATGTATTGATATTTGAACTAGTGATTTAGTGTTCTGTAGTGGGTCCTATTCCATGTTGGTCTTCCTAGTTGACAGAGATAATACTATGTCTTGTAATCACTATGAACATTATAACCACCTACTGTCCAGACATGATTACTATTTTTCTGCGCCTGCACATCTCAGGTCTATGATTTAAAGCCTTATCATGGAACCTCCTCCACAGCATTCAACGCTCATCAGGAGTAAAGCACCACTTTTATTCTAGTTTATTTTGATTTTCACCCAGTGTGCTTTAAGATATCAAACAACATAGCCATATCAATACAGAGCTGTGGTAATGTACAAGACTATAAGAACAAGCCAACCTAGAGTTTTTATCAGGCAGCAAAATATATGCTTTAAAAAAACACATTAAAATGATCTGGAAAAATGTATGATTCAACCCTACAGGGCCAAACCATACTGCTATTATTATAGTCTATATATTCACCAGAAGCATCAAAATTATATATATCTATGAAGCCATTTTTCAAAAGTGCCTCCTTTCTTTGCAGGAATCAAAAAGGCCGCGTATGCATAAAATAATTATTTAAAAAAATAATAAAATAAAGAAGTGGGTCCTAGAGACAGCCCCAAGCGAAGTACTATAAATAGAAAGGAAATGGGTAGGTTATGTCTTCATGACAAATCTATTGTTGAGAAGAAAGACGTTTAAAAACTACATGACAAAAATCCAGACTAGTGATTCAGGATAGTTTTTTTAAAGGGCTATTATGTAACTTTTCTAGTTGAGGCTCTGCCACAACCTTGTCTCCATGGAGATCTTATGACTTTGAGTGGAATGTTCCACAGTATGACGTTAAACCTATCCCTGAAAATGCTAGGGGGTAGATCTATGGAGAGGCGACCCCGCTCACAGCAAAAACATGTATTTTCAAGGCATTTATGTGCAATAAAACCGCCTATAATTTAATAAATACAAGAGAAGTTTAATGCCAGATTGTGGGACATTACTGGCAAGGAAATCATCTCCATGGAGACAGGTAGCCAAATTCACATCTAAAAGTTACATAGTGTACCTTCAAGGGCAAGAAGTTTTTTTCCTTGGTGAGAACACTGTTAAGATTACGGTTATCAAAAGCTATGCAGGAAGCTAGTGGTCTGTCAGGTTAATAAATATTGTGGACAGCTTTGGTTTAACATTTGGCTTATTTTGTTATTATTTTAAGAAGACGATGCACTTGTGAATAGAGCAAAGAGAGGTGTGTCCAGAAAGTAACTTGAATTTTTCATTTTTCTACAATTAGGGATGTCAAGATTTTTTTTTTAATGGATCATCAGAAACATTTGTCATAATATAATGTTAAAAATAATAATCGTAACAATTTTTTAAGCAAAAATAAGTAATTCAATCTACACTCCAAAATGTCAACCAAAATATGAAGTGCTTTTTTATCTGAAGGTTTAGACCATTTAAATTAATTAATGAACTTGAATGAAAAAAAAATTAATGAATGCACTGTTGTTTGGTGTGAGTTGTGAATAATCGTAATATTGTTGTTTCTTCTTAATATAATCGTGGCATTCCAATGTCTACATATGGACAGAATTTCCATTATATTTAAATAGACTTTTTGTTTTTCATTTTTCACATCAGAAGAGCAAGATATCAAACCAGTAATGGGTCAGTCAGCTGCTGGGCATGTGATGTAGCAGCCAGCACCTGATCTGCTTAAAAAAAAAAAAAGAAACAATGTGGAAATTATTAGCTTTAGTTTTAGTGGTTGTGACGGTTTGTGATTCTCAAACTGTGGTGCAAGTACAAATGGTGGTACATGTGTTCTTTATATGGCTGGGATTCATGGTTTAAATCCTGGTTTAGTTCTTGTTTTGGTCCAGTTCAGTGACATAATCTTTACTTCACAGCACCTTTAGTCCTGTTGCATGTATAATGTTGCTGTTGTATAATTTTCAACCATTCAAAAATATCTTTACATTCTGGACACACCTTGCGTTACCTCATAGCAGAGACTGAACTAAACTTGAGCTCAATTATGCACAAACTCACTATTGCATTGAGGAAGTCTCTTGGTTGGCATTCAAGGCTTCAGATTTCAGCAAATGAGACAAAAACCAAACCATGGGAAAGGTGGATTTAATAATGCAAAGTCTATGATGTCCATTATTCTCACTAGAGTAGCTTTGAGTGTGCGTACAAGTCTCTATTTGCCGTAATATTTTCAGTGCCGCTCGTCCCATTTGGGGAAGTTAAGTTAGTTTGTGTCCATGTTGTCGTCCACTGACTCCGAGGCGCCCCCTAGTGACACACAGGGCTGTGGTTTGGGGGAGTCCTCTTCGTCTCTGCGCTGATAGAAGAGCACGTAGGCCGCTTTTGTCTGTAAGAGAAGAGACATCGATACAGTTACTACAAAACAATAAGGCATTTTTACAGTCAGTGAACAAAGCAAACCTTTTATTATTATATAAAAATGGGATGAGACAATCTGCATGAGACACAACACTGGGTTCACAAGAATTTGTCAGAATAATTCTATTATGTCTAGATAAACCTAACAGAATTACAAAACAACATTTTGATATAATTTATACAAAATACATTTTGTAGTTCAGTTAACATTTTGAATTTATTTTATATTTTACTTGTCATGGTAGTACAGCTTTTTTGAACTCCTCAGCATATCCGGGCTTTGTGCTTTGTGCTACATTTCAAATGTATGAAAAGTGCTATACAAATAAAGTTTGAGTGATTGATCGGTTATGTCATAGCCAAACACAATCTCTGAAATCAGATTTCACATATGTGCACAATTTGTGGCTGTTATACCTCGCTTAACCAAGATGCAAGGTATAACAACCAAGATGTAATCTTATATGAGATTAGTGGAGGATGTTTTTCATCCTAACTTCTTAACCTAAAATATGTTTGCTTGTCGCTCATGGTTCAACTTGCACCAAAGCTTAGGAATGTCACAAACCAGAAAAATCTTAAATTCACATGAGTCACTGTAAATGTAAATGTATTGTATCTTTACTTTCAGACGTTTAGTCACCAACTGATTGTGTCTACACTGTAGGAAAATGAGGGATGGCTATTTCTGCAACATAACCAAAACAAAATGCTAATATGGTGTATTTTTGTTTTGGACCCACATTATACATTTGCATGTTTTGAAATTTAATACTTACTTTCCTTTCACTTTGTATTTGTCAAACAAAAAATGTGAAACACAACGTTTAACAATAGTTTTTGATCTTTGATATTTACTAAGTGCTAAACTGTGTTGTGTGTTATTACATAATACAATAAAAAAGTATCTTTTGTATGTACATTGAATGCATATACTTCATTTTATTAAAGATTTTGGAGGGTTCTCCATTCGTTTGTTTTCATGCTGTTGTAATTGCTTTACCTCCAACACACATTACATAGGATACCTTTAATAGTTACAATGTCAAAATATTTGGTCCAGGTTGGTTTTGTCCTTCATTTTATTCTAACAATTTAATCTTCAAATGGTCTAAGAATTTTATAAATTTAACCAAATGTCACTAAACCCAGAATATGTGCTCAACAGGTTACGCCATGTTCAGTATACTGTTCTACTGTCAGTGTAATCTATTATAGAGTAAAACCTCACCACAATCTGGTCCTCTGAGGCCGACGAAACACTGCTGTCGTCAAAGTAATACCACTTCCCGTCCATCTTGTTCTTGCCGTACGCCGTGTCTATTTGAGACAAACGTCAAAGGTCAACAAGAGCCAAAACACACAGTGAAAAAAAAACTCTCCTGAAAACCA